GTCTGTCTCTGACTGTGGGGATTATGATACTATTAAAGACGCAGTTTTACATGCCTATGAATTAGTACCTGAGGCTTATAGGCAGAAATTTAGATCTCTCCGTAAACGTGATGAGGGGCAAACATTTGTTGAATTTGCGAGAGAGAAGGGTTTACTGTTTGATAAATGGCTGCAGTCCTCAAAAGTGACCAACCTGAACGAATTACGAGAGTTAGTTCTACTGGAGGAGTTTAAAAGATGTCTGCCTGAAAGAACGGTGTTGTATTTAAATGAGCAGAAAGTGAATAATCTGTCAGCTGCAGCACTTCTGGCTGATGAGTTCATGCTAACCCACCGTGTTAAAGTGGAGAAAGTAGTCAGGGACAGATCGCATGCTGTAAAACCTAGGCACTTTGAAAGAAACTCAGAAACAAGTCCACCAAGGTGTTTTTACTGTCACCAAGTGGGTCATATTGTCAAAGATTGTCTGATCCTGAAGAGGAGAGAGAGGAAAAATGACCGTGTGGTAGCATTTGTTGCATCAGATGAAACTCAGAAAAGGCCAGGCTTGCTTGACCCCTCATATGAACCATTTATTTTGGAGGGTTCTATAAGTATGGGAGAGGGGGAGAGCGTGCCAATAAAAATCCTTAGAGATACTGGAGCATCTCAAACATTGGTACTGGAGTCTGCGCTTCCCTCTGAGGCAACAGTCAATACGGAAACGTCTGTGTTGTTGAAGGGTTTGACGGGTGAAGTTATGTCATGTCCACTTTGTGAAGTGAATATTGCAAGTAATCTTGTGTCAGGTGTTTTTAAAGTGGCTGTGTGTAAAACTTTACCTATTGCAGAGATCCATCTACTGCTGGGAAATGACATAGCAGGAGGAGCTGTTGTTCCTGTGCCTCAGGTCATTGAACACCCAGAGAAAGTTGCCTGTGTGATGTCCCCACGAGGTATTGTTCCATCGTGTGTAGTGACCAGATCAGCTGTACGTCATGAGGCAAATGAATTCCAAGGGCTTTCTGATCTGTTTTCTGACTCCAGTTGTACTTCAGGCATGCACCAGCTACCAGATGTAGGCGTTACCGATAAAGATGTTGCAGAAGAGAAACTACATTTTGAGTCCCAGGACCGTTTGGTTTCACGTTCAACATTAATAGATGAACAGAAAAGGGACAAAACATTAAAGAAGTGTTTTGATGCAGTACATTCGTCTGTTAAATTCTCGACAACATTCTTTTTGGAAAACGATCTACTGATGAGGAGCTGGGAAAATCCAGTAGAGGGGAAAGCTCCCTGGGGAGTGGTACACCAGATTGTAATACCGGAGTGTTTTCGAAGACAGATAATAGCCTTAGCTCATGAAAGTAGATGGTCAGGACACTTGGGAGTGAAGAAAACTTATTTGTCTATCCTAGATCATTTCTTTTGGCCGGGGATGAAACGGGATATAGCGAAGTTTTGCAGAGCCTGCCACGCGTGTCAGATGGTGGGAAAGCCAAATCAGCCCATTAAACCGATGCCGTTGTCACCCATTCCTGTAATAGGACAGCCTTTTGATCACGTTGTCGTAGATTGTGTGGGTCCGTTGCCACGCACAGTCTGGGAAAAAGTTTTTGTTGACCATAATGTGCAGTGCCACCAGATTTCCAGAGGCAATACCATTGGCTACCATAACTACCAAGAGTGTGATCAGAGCTTTATCAAATTTCTTCTCGCTCTTTGGACTACCACGGGTGATCCAAACAGATCAAGGGTCAAATTTCACATCTGACCTCTTCAAACAGGTCACAAAAGTATTGGGGATCCAACATATTATGTCTGCCCCGTACCATCCTGAATCACAGGGAGTCTTGGAACGATGGCACCAAACATTTAAGTCGATGTTGAGGAAATACTGTTTCACAACATCTAAACAGTGGGATGAAGGTGTGCCTTTCTTGTTGTTTGCAGCTAGAGAAGCTACGCAGGAGTCGCTGGGATACAGCCCAGCGCAACTGGTTTTTGGGCACACTCCTAGGGGACCGTTACAGGCTTTAAAGGAGCGGTTTCTGCAGTCACCAGGTTCACTCAAAATGAACGTAAACGAATACGTGAAATGTTTTAGGAGTCGCTTAAGATTTGCAAACCAAATAGCACGAGAGCATTTGAAAAACGCGCAGAAGGTGATGAAAAGCCACTTCGATCAAAAGGCTAAACTGCGCGATTACTTGCCAGGAGAGAAAGTGTTAATGTTAAGTCCTATTGTTGGTGACACACTGAGTACACGTTTTGAGGGTCCATTTGAAATCAGCCACAAAATCAACGAAAACACTTATGCGGTTAAAACATCACACCGTCGGAAAGCTGTAAAAATCTGTCATGGGAATCTATTAAAATCTTGTTCCCCAGGTCTCAGCGGATCAGATGCAGGATGGAGCACCAGTGTGCGCAGCTGGTCTCATTGCCACGTCCGATCCACAGGAGGAAGTAGTGATTCGAGCTTTACATGCAGTAAGTCCGCGCTTGAAAAATTCTGAAGTGTTGTTGAATTTGGATGAGAAATTAACACATTTAACGGAACAGCAACGTGAAGATGTGACTGTGTTAATTAATGCACATCTTAGCTTGTTTTCAGACGTCCCTACGATTACGAACGTGTGTCACCATGACGTGATTCTGACCAATCTTCAACCTATAAATCAGCACCCCTACAGGGCAAGTCCAGAAAAACGCCGCCTAATGAAACAGGAAACGGATTACCTGGTTCAAAATGGTCTTGCGGTAGCAAGCTGTAGTCCATGGGGGTCTCCTTGTTTGGTAGAGGAGAAACCTGATGGGTCAACCAGGTTCATCACAGATTATAGAAAAGTTAATGCCGTCACTGAGCCGGATTCGTACCCATTACCGCGTGTTGATGACTGCGTGGATAGCATAGGTATGTCTACGTATATATCAAAAGTGGACTTGTTAAAAGGTTACTGGCAAGTGCCTCTTACTGAGAATGCGTCGAAAATCTCCGCTTTTGTTACTCCAGATGCGTTTCTGCAGTACAAAGTCATGCCTTTCGGGATGAGGAATGCACCTGCTACATTCCAGCGTCTTATAAATACTGTTATAGCTGGCTTAGAGAATTGCAGTGCATATTTGGATGACATAGTCATACACACAATGTCATGGCAAGAACATCTACACACCTTGAATGAGTTGTTTAAGCGCTTGGTTAGGGCAAATCTAACTATTAACCTTGCGAAATATGAGTTTGTTAAAGCCACAGTCACATACCTGGGGAAGGAAGTGGGACACGGATTTGTTCGCATGCTTAAGGATAAAGTGCTGTCAGTTTCAGCCTTTCCGGTGCCCAGGACGAGACGGGAGCTGAGACGATTTCTGGGGATGGTGAGCTACTATCGCTGTTTTTGTCCGAATTTTGCAACAGTGGTACATCCCCTTACTAATCTGCTAAGTCCGAAACATCCATTTGTCTGGAGTGAAGAAGCTCAAGCAGCTTTTACATCCTGCAAAGTTCTTCTTTCCAGTGTACCTGTGTTGAAGGCTCCAGATTTGGCCAACCCGTTCACCTTGGAGGTTGATGCTAGCCAAGTGGGGGCGGGTGCCGTTCTACTGCAGGCCGATGAGAAGGGGATTAACCATCCGGTGGCATATTTCTCGAAGAAGTTCTCTCCCTGTCAAGCCCGGTATTCGGTTATTGAAAAGGAGACGCTGGCCCTAATAATGGCTCTGCAACACTTTCGAGTATACGTAGGTTCTACTACCGTACCCTTGGTAGTGTATACGGACCACAATCCATTGTCATTCTTGGCCAAAATGTTCAATCAGAACCAGCGCTTAATGCGGTGGGCATTGCTTTTACAAGAATATGCTTTGGAGATCAGACATAAAAGGGGTACTGATAACGTGGTAGCGGACTGTCTGTCCCGCATGCCTGATTGCAGTTGAGGTTGTTTTTTTTTTTTGTTGTTGTATTTTTTTTTTTTGTTTTTCTTCTTTGAGAAGTTTTCGTATGTGACGGATTGTAAGTTTGACTTCATCAAACTTTTTGTGAGCAGGGGAGGTGTTATGGGCTTTGAGTAATTGTTTTCTCTGTTACCGGGGACTTCACACAACTTCGGGTCCTTGGAGGAGAAGAGAGTGGGGGCGTGAGCTCCTGCTGCAACGAGGTGCAGGGTTGCCGGGCCAACGGGGGAGGATCCCCGCAACAAGGACAGACAGCGGCAATATCGAGGGGAGGAATCTCCAGGACGCGGATCTGGGATCACACCTGCAACAAATGAACTGATTGCTCGCCTCACCTCTTCAAACAGGATTTAAGCAGTTCATGGACGCTCCGACGAGGAGCGACTCTTTAACCTTGAGCTCGTCTCCGCAGCTGCTTCATTGTGCACATTTAATGTTGGGCAATTTCCCTAAGTGTGATAAGTAATAAAAAAAAAGATAATATATCTCTCAAGTATTTTGCTTACGTTTTTCTATTTGTCCTAGAAAACGTTTAGACAGACGTGTGTGCACTTAAGAAAGTTAAAAGAAGCTTCTGCTCTTCTGTACTCCGTTTTGGTACATTTGAATTTGTTTTGGGACATTAGAACCTCACCCCCATTTTCAGTTGTGAAGACATAACAACCATTCTCTCCCTTAACATCCCAACTGACACCATCCCTAGGATAAGTACGGCTCCTAGACGCCAGAGGGGACGTAACAAACATTACGAGCCTCGGGGAAAAATCTATAAATGTACTTAAGTCCTTGACAGAAAACCACATTATTTAGTGGTGATTCTGTTCGATTTGATCAACTTTAAGCTCACAACCGCTGCAAGATGTTAAAGCGACAGCACTCGTACTTACTGCGAGTGCCACTCTGCCTCGTAGTCTGCAGCGTGCCTTCTCTTCGATTGGTCAAATGACAACGCGAGACTGACACACTAGAACAAACATTGTTTGTGAAAAAGAGGCACCTCCTATCCGTTCTCTGGTTGATTCTCATAAAGAGGCTGAAACCCAACAGAAGACCCCCCCCCCCCCCCCTCCAACAAACTCTTCAGAACTACACGATTCACGTGAACTCCACTTTCAACTTCAAAAAGTGTGATTTTCATCGAAAAGCTACAAGTTTGCAGTAGGGCAGGGTGATATGGCCTAAAATCAATATCAAGATATGTTGAGGATTTCACCTCGATAACGATAAATGGACGATGACTACAGGTATGCGCAGAAACAAAAGTTGTCCACTAGATGGGGCTGTCGCATGTTACGTTGAGTGACATTTTTACGTGACTCAAGGTGGTACTGCTTCTTAAAGGGACATGAATTTTGCCAACCTACACAAATCTCTTCTTTTTTTTTCATCAAATTTATTGACATGGAAATAATTATCTCGATAGGAGTCAGAAATGTTGATAAAGATACATTTTTGATTCATTGCCCAGCCCTAGTTTGCAGGTATGATTACACCCTCCTTTGATTTTCACCGGGGCTTCCTCTTGGCACACTGGTCACCTTCCTCCTGTCTGGAGTGGTGTTTGTTACCCAGCTGGGTCGGGTGAGTCACTTATTTTTTACCATAAACTGACACACAAGATGTGAAAACGACAAGGATCCCCTTTTAGTACTCTCGTAGTTAAATGATTACCCAGGGTAAACCAAAAATACTTTGCCGCCTCTTGGTGGAAATGGGAATTTAGTGAAATTTTACAATTTGGGAACAACAGCATGTGGTTCAAAGGCAAGAAATCACTTTTGGTATTCTTGTGGTTCAACAAGTTCTTTGTGTCTCAAGTGGACTTTCATGTGGCCATTTAAATGTGTCTTCCTGCTAAATGCTCGTCCACAGAGCTCACAAGCAAACGGTTTGTTTCCCGTGTGAACCTTCATGTGACTGTTTAAACCTGTCTTTAGGCTAAATCTTTGTCCACATAGTTCACAAGAAAAAGGCCTATGTCCTGTGTGGACAACGATGTGTTTGGTTAAAGTTGACTGTTGGCTAAACTGTTGTCCACAGAGCTCACAAGAAAAGGGTTTCTGTCCTGTGTGGACTCTCATGTGTCTGTCTACACTTCCCTTATGGCTAAATCTTTGTCCACAGAGCTCACATGCAAAAGGTTTCTGTCCTGTGTGGACACCCATGTGTCTTTTTAAATGGGTGTCTTGGCTAAATCTGTGTCCACAGAGTTCACAGGCAAAAGGCTTCTGTCCCGTGTGGACTCTCATGTGTCTGTTAAAAATTGCCTTTAGGCTAAATTTTTGTCCACAGAGCTCACAGACGAAAGGCTTCTGTCCTGTGTGGTCTTTCCTATGCAAGTTTAAATTTGTCTTTCGGCTAAATCTTTTCTCACAGAATTCACAGACAAAAGGCTTCTGTCCTGTGTGGACTCTCATGTGGTCGGCTAAATGAGATTTGGTTCCAAGCATTTTTCCACAGTCGTCACAACTAAATGATTTTTGTTCTTTCTGGACTTTCCTGCACGAGTCTACATGTTGCTTCACTCTAACACATTTCTTATTAACCAAACAGCCTGAAGACCTTACAGCTGAATGACCTTTCACTCTCACATGTTTCTGGAGAGACCACTTGTGGAGAAACTGTTTACCACACTCGGGGCAGCTAAAGGATCTGTTGACATCTGACTCAGAAGACCTGCTCTCGTTCCAGTCATCATCTCCGTCTACAGTTTCAAACCCAGGGCCATCATCATCATCACCATCTCCACTAACTTCAGTCTCTGAAGAATCAGATGTTTGTTCATGAGGGTTCAGATCTGGGTTCCTGCTAGTTCCTGCTCCTCCACCAGTTTCTGCTGTCATCTGGTCAGCTGAGCTGCTGGTTGGAACATCTCTGTCTTCTATTTGTTGCTGATGAAGCTGTGAGACCAGAGGTTTCTCTTCATCATCCTCACTCTTTATAGAAACAGCAGTAACAGGAAACCCGACAGCTTCAGTCTCCTCCTTCAAACAGAGATGCTCTCCCTCCAGACTGGTCCAGAGCTCCTCCTGTTCCTCCTTTATGAGAAGACATTCTGGGTCCTGTTGGTCCACACCAACACTCTGTTCTTCAGGAGCTTCTTCTTTAACCAGCACCACCTGTTGAACATCTGTAGGAAACACAGAAACACTTGATGCTAATTATACTTTATGTTCACAAATGCAAAATCAAACTGGAAAAATCAGAACATGGAGCAAAAGTGTGTTGATTTCAGTATCCCTCCCTCCCTCCATTATCATATTATATTGGGTGGGGTTGCGGGGGGAGCAGCCTAAGCAGAGAGGCCCAGACTTCCCTCTCTACAGCCAGTTGGGCCAGCGCTTCCAGCGGAATCCTAAGGTGTTTCCCGTCTATACGAAAAAAGTAGTTTCTCCAGCGTGTCGTGAGTCTTTTTTTTTTGGGTCTCCTCTCAGTTGGATGTGCCTGAGAAACCTCACCAGGGAGGCGTCCAGGAAGGATCAGATGCCAAAACCGCATAAACTGGATCCTCTCAATTGCCACTTACACACTGGCATCGGCTCCACTCCACTGCACCCCGACCACCACAGCCCGGCCGTGTTCGTTCCACACTAGCTTAGGAATGCGGACGTGATTGAGCACATGGGTGGTCTGTGATGTCATGAGCGCATCTCCGAGCACATGGGTGGTCTGTGATGTCATGAGCGCATCTCCGAGCACATGGGCGGGGCAAAGGAGTGTGGAGAAGTCTGCAGTGTCTCCATTATTAAACAAAAGCAGCCTGAGCAGTCTTGCTTTTCGAGACTCTGATTTTTCATCCTGCTTTGCTGTTTTAGGCAGCATGTGCGTGTGTGTGTGTGTGTGTGTGTGTGTGCCTCCTCACAGCAGTGGGATGGAGAAAAATAGCTTCAGTCAGAGGCTTAACTCCACAGCGTCCAGACCAGGCTCTGACTCTGGTCATATAGGGACCCAACAGCCCGTATCAAAGGGCCTGGTACCCATACTGCCTATGTACCACCCACAGCCAAAACTACGGTTCAGATGTCCAAATGGATTAACATCTATTAACGTGAGGCCAGGCTGAGGACTTTCTCTGGAGCCAGCTCTGAAGCTCATTAATTATTAGGGGTGTCCCGATACAACTTTTTCACTTCCGATACGATATTGCTGCCTTCAGTATTGACCCATACCGATGTCAATCCGATACGGTATCAGCACAAGTCATACACACTTTTACCTGTTTCGTAGTGTGGCATGTATGAAAGGCTTGATCAAATGATGTTACTAAATCAGAGAACAAGAACCAATAAAAGCAAGTGTGAAAATAATGGCAATTGTTTTTACCATTGGTTGTAAAAATGCAAACCTTAACGGACCGCCTATATCAAAGACGTTTGATGCAGTCCGATATAATCAGTTACAATGTTTTTGGGCCGATATCAAATTACTTTCGTTATCGGAACGGGACATCCCTATTAATTATTCAGAATTTTAAATGGTAAATAAATGGTAAGTGGCCTGTATTTGATATAGCACCTTTCTAGAGTCCTGGAACCCCCCAAGGCACTTTACAACACACAATCACACGCTGGTGGGGACGAGCTACAATGTAGCCACAGCAGCCCTGGAGCGCACTAACAGCGGTGAGGCTGCCGAGCACAGGCGCCACTGGACCCTCCGAATACCACCAACAGGCAGGGGGGGTAAGTGTCTTGCCCAAGGACACAACAACAGTGACGAACTGAGGAGCTCGAACCAGCAACCTTCCGTTACTGTGCAAGCACTTGACTCCTGTGCCACCGTCGCCCCTTTAAATTCCACGTAAACAGAAAAGCTACAAAAAATGAATGAAATGATGCCCAGTTGTTAACAAATATTGGCGGCCTCTTAATATATAACCACTAAAATCAGGTCTAAAATACATGGGAGCAGGTCTAAGTCTCTGGGCGACGCCATATTAGATGCATGTTTCCTTTTACGGGAGCCCGTGAGGACAAAATGCATTTACTGATTAGTAACAAACGATTTCAAAGCTTTCGTCATTCTTAAATGTTGCTGTTTTACACAGTTACCTCTTCACTTGTTGCCAGTGATGAAAGGGAGTCTGATTGCTAAAGTTTGCACTCCCCATGGCTTTTTGACCCTAATGGGCATCCGTTGGTAAGGTCTCACTCCAACACGAAAATACTGCTCGCCTGCAACGATTTAGGTATCTACTGGCCCCTATCACCAGGAAAAACACATACCGTCACTTAAACACACACACACACACACACACACACACACACACACACACACACACACACACACACACACACACACACACACACACACACACACACACACACACACACACACACACACACACACACACACACACACACACACACACACACACACCTGTGTCCATGCTGTCCAGGTCCAGGTGGTGAAGAACACACGATGAATCAGTCCCAGATCCTGAAGTGGTAGCAGGTTTTCTTTAGCCGTGTTTAGCTAACAGCTGCAATAGAAACAAAGCAGGAGAGCTGATTAAGACGCTGCTTCAGAACAACGCAGGAGATTAAAGATCCAACGCGTTGGTTCTGATCAGCTGAGGACAGATCCAGTCTGGAAAAGAGGATCTTTGCTCACCAGAGTTCACGGAGTAGAGCTAACCATTTTTTCCTCCAGAGTCACATTCAGATTCGGGGCTTTTCTGTCGGAGAGTGTGAGCAGGATGGATCAGAGAGCGAGCAGCGATCCTGCATCATGACCAAAGTGTTGCGTTTATATTTTTGTTCAGTCTATTAGTGAGAAAAATGCATTTGAGCAACTCAAAATTGAAGCAGTGTCAACTAAAAGAGTTGCATTGTTCCTGTAGTCTCCCTCAGGGTAGAGGCAGACAGATATGGGGTTTTAAAGAGCGGGTCAAGCGTGCCTCAGAGTCTTACTCCACCCACGTATCAATTTTAAAAACTGCAACATTAGTAGACGCTGCCTGGCGGACCGAGAGGGCTGAGCCGCGGCAGTGACGAAGACGATGGGCAACAAGCTAGCTCCCTTCAATCTGAGCAGTCATTAGAAGTGGAGGACGTTTCTGCCCCTCCTTACCCAGACACTCGAGAAGAAAGGAACCAAGTCTATTTGGAGGAGACAAGCAGACCTGAGCCTTATTGTTTTGAGCTTGTGAGCTGCCTGAAACTACCGGAACCGACCCAACAGAACCAGCTCTGAATGGTAAGTAGCTGTTAGCCATAGCATTAGATTAGCTGCAGGGTTTGGCTCCACGGCCCTAGAGCTAGTATTCAGCATGTTTTAGAGGTTTATCTGCTTCAACACACCTGGTTTTAATCAGCAACAAATAGCTGAGCTGCTTAACAGCTAATCTAACCTGTTAAAGCAGGAAAACCACTGAAACGTGCTGGATAGCAGCTTTCCAGGAGCCCTGGGCTTAAGTAACAGTCTGCTGCAGAAAGTTATAAAAATACCCCATGAGAAAATTATTCTGTAATGTGTTCATGTATGTTACACAATCCCAAACAGCCCACTAAAACTGTCCTGATTTCATTATTTACGGATACCAGCTGCTGTCTTGGTCGTAGGTGATCCTCTGGTGTCTGCAGCTGGTCTCTGCTGGTGTCGTCAGGATCAGGAGCTTCCAGAAGAATGTGCCTTTGAATGACTCTCAATGTGTATATTTCCTGTTTTTGTTTATGTCCATAAATACATAAACATGCTTGAAATTAAAACAAGCTTTTAACAGTGGGGTGCTAGTTTAATTCATCACAATAGAGCTAGTTAAACAAGCAACAATGTGATAATTCAATAAACAGTTTGTGTGATCAGGCACTCGAGGAGTACAGACGCTTCCCTCGTTCGCTCCCTTATCTTTGTTTCCCAAGGCTCTTTGTCCTGTCTGCCCACAGAGCGCTTCTCTGCATTTCTTCTTAAAAACTATTTTTACTAACCATGGATTTGATAAACTGGTCATTCAATGCGATCGATAAGATTTTTTCATCAATGAGAACGGAGCAGGGGGCTCCCACATGTCCACAGGGGACACACCCGGTGGGATATATGCTGGATTCCTGAAAGGAGTGGAAGATCATATGCCTCTGCCAGCTGTCCATTGAGGACATCGAAGACGTGAGGATATTTGGCCTGATGATCACTGGATTTGTCCTGATTGGAGTGGGAGGATATCTGGTTTTCTGGAAATTTGGGAAGACGGGAGCGATTGGAGGGCGACCCGCACCCACGGATAGCACCGTCCGTAGACTTCTCAGACTGGGACGTTACTTGAGGTGAATCGTAAGCTGGACAATGTTCTAGCTGCGATACCGGTGTCGGTACAAGATCTGCTCGGGTGCAAGATCGGCTCGGGGTCCTTTGACTGCCGATGACGGCAAACCCACTCGGACAAAATACAGTACACATCTATACTGTTGGAAATAATTTAGCAGTTTCATTATTAAAATAATGTTTCTTAAGACGTAAGTTTGTGTTTATAATGGTATTTGTAAAATAAAACACTATATTGTATTCATAATGTTGAACTCCTCTTTGAGCACATGCCTTGAAGGATCATAGGTATTAGCAACACCTGTGATATTGTATTTGCAGGAAAGAAGTGTGTCCCGTTTATTGAAGTATTTTTTGTTTAGAGTTTTTGACGTCTTATCCATGTGTAGTTCAGTTACGCTCATAGCTGCTAGCCAAAACTCTGGAGTTAAAAATTTTCTGGCTTTACTAAAATACCTGTCTGTACTTATTTGATTGATGGTAGTTTTACTTTCTATTAGACTCCAAATGTAATCATTTGGCACGTTTCTAATTCATAATTTGTAATAATGTAATCAGTGATATTAGCATTAGCATTCGTATGGGTTTTTCCACGTATATTAGCATTGCGCTAACCACTCGCTGCCAAATTGCAGCCTTTGTGATTAGAAAATCTCTTTGTCACATCGCAATTTAATTGCACATGCAGTTAATCGTTCAGCCCTAATATACATGCGGATCTATGCTAAAAGTGTATTTTCAAAGAGGTAATGATGGATTTCTTTGTAAAATTTGTCCATCTTTCCAACAGAAAGATTTGCCTGGACCAACGTAACGTGATAACAACGTAACGTGATAACAACGTCACGCGATTACGTAATTCTGTAAGGTTCATGTTCAGCCAATCAACTACTTTGACGTCATCGGCAGTCGAAGGACCCCGAGCCGATCTTGCACCCGAGCAGATCTTGTACCGACACTGGTATTAGTGCGCAAAATGGATGTCATCTCGAAGAGGGTCACCGGACGGTATGGACAGGTTTAAAAACCCAAAATTGGCTTCACTGAAGGACTGGAAATGATCAGTTTAAAGACTGAAGGCAGAGAGAAAATTATCTCAGCCTGACCCAAAATCTTGTTATCTGAATCTGATGCCCTGGTAGCCTTGAGCTGCAAGCAACTAAAACAAGTGGCGCTCGCTGCAGAACCACAAAGGCGGAGCTGCACCAGAAGGTGGAGCTGCACCAGAGTCAGACCCGCCCATTCCAGAATCAGCCCCGCCCATTCTATCAGAGTCAGTCCAATTCCTTCCAGTTGTCAGGCTTTATAGCATTCTGGAACCAAAGAGGGTGTTATGGCTAAAAAATGCAAGATTGAGGACGGAGTTGAGAAGTGAATTGAACAGTTTTTGTAAAGGTTCCATATAATTAAAAATCTAACTTTTGGAACTTTTAATCATGTTATATTGTCATTTCCTCATAAGAAACACGCCAAAGCCATTTTTGGCCTCATTCATGCATTTTCTTCCCATCTCAGCTTCAATTTGGTCTCCTCCCCCGAAGCGGGTCTGGTTTTGGTTCTCAAATCTGGATATTCTGTGAATTTTCTGACAAATTATTTCTGAAATGACTTCTACTGAGACACCGCCAATAAACCATACATCCCATCTCCAAAGACACACTAAATAGCATAATAAAATGTAACGCCACCTAGTTTTTATCAGATATGGTGGTGTAGTGGTGATGGAGTCAGGTTGACGTGCAGTTTTGCGCGGGTTCGCCTCCCAGCAGTGGAAATATCCTATAATCTCTTTTCCTCATTTCTAGCTACACTTGCCAGTACTATGTTTACAACAATTTATTGGTATGCCGTTTAACATATAATGACTAATGTGTTTTTTTTATTTATTCATTCGTTTATTTAGCCAGTGTGAGTCCATCTGTGAGCAGAGTTTCAACTAAAATGCTGTTTAGGAACGACCAAATTCAAAGAACTTGTAGAGACATAAATATTTTGCTGAAAATGAACATTACAACTAAAATATGAACAAATTCAATGTTTCAGCTGGCTGAATAGATTGTTGCCGACCCCACCGAGAATCGAACCAGCATCAGCTGAGGGGAAAGCAAAACTTAACTCAAACGATCTTGCCACTGGACTAACAGAACCCACATGGTGGTGGTACATGCTGTTGTACAGGAGTTTTGTTAGAGCGGCTGTGGGCAGATATTCGCTAAGAGAAACTTTTTTATTTCGGGATATATTCAGACTTTGTCATGTAGCAAGTTATATTTATCTTGTTTAATTGGAGCATAGAACATAACATTAACGACTGTAAACTAGTAACAGCCGTAATTCATGTGGGTCAGGTCAGTTTGCGATAAAGATGAAAACAAAAACGGAAGTCAGTGGGCTAGGCTGAGTTTGCGTGAATGGGCGGGGCTGACTCTGGTGCAGCTCCGCCTTTGTAGTTCTGCAGCGAGCACCCTCTCAACTAAAACCCCCCACGAAGGAATGCAGACAGATGCTGCGAAAACCTGACACCCCCCCCCCCCCCCCACCCCCCCGGATTGGTGGACTTCAGCCTGGCGAGGTCATCAATCTGTAGGAGTCAATGTAGTCTTTGATTCTCCCAAGATCTCCTTCCCACCTGTGACTGTACAGTAGCCAGATGGCTGCTCTCACTGGGGGAAGCAGCATCCACCCCCCCCCCCCCTCCTATTGGAGTCTCATATTGCTGTGTTATGTCTGAAGTCTGTGCATATTTGTTGAGGTGTTTTTTGCAGAGCAAAGCTGCCCTCCCGGTGGAGGGTAACTCTGAAGTGCCTTTTTTTCCCTCCACCTGAACCAATCCTCATGTAAACCCTCTTATCTCTATTAAGGTAGCGTGACTCAGGGTTGCGAATGACCACAGTCACCAATTCTTGTCATGTGTCTTGCCCATGTATGTCTGATCTCTGAATTGTATGTACTGAAACTCTAATTTCCCTCTGGGATTAATAAAAGTATTGATTGATGTAAAAGTTATTAACTGAAGTTACAGTAACATCACACAATATGATAGTGGCTATCACAGAATGTGGCCATCTGCATCTCAGTAATAATGCAGATGTCTTTAGTTTTCACTAAAGAGAACAACAAAAGGCGTTTCGTGATGTTTGTGTCATTTTATTTCCCTTTTATCTCCAATAGTACATACGAGTGGCATTGGGGTGACAGGAAAAAAAACCGTAGCAACCAGATAATCTGCAGTGGTTTCTAATAAATTCAATGAGGATGTGGATCACAACAATTTATTTCAATAAATGGACGTTCTGAACGGACCTCGTTTTAAAATCAATGTTTAACGTTAGCAAACATTTCTTGTCAAAGCCCTGCTTCGCTGCATTTATTGTCGTTTGTTTGCAATAAACATTAACAAACGCTCTTTTTAATGTCCACGGTCCGTGCCGCACAACTTCCTTAAAGCTTACGTAGTTCACGGTTTTAACGTAGCACCTTCTTCTTTTATGCCAGTTCAGGATGTACAGACGCAACAAAACGCAACACTGCCCCCTGGGGGTCTCAAATGGTGATGGGTCGCAGAATTTGCACCGGGAAACGGGAACTGCCAGCCGCCTTCCCTCGCAACTTATTACGGGGCAGGAGACGGGAGAAGCTGGGCACCCGCTCAAGGTTCTTACGCAGCCCCACTAACACGTTGGACTAAGCAGTTAAATTACGGCATTTCCTCCATTCAACCAGCGAAAAGTACAGAAGTATAAGTGTACTTACTGATAAAAGTAACTGCTGTTAGATAGTAGTGAGGACACAACTAAAGATCAGAGTCAAAATGGCCGAACATTAATTACCGTGAGACCGAGGACCAGGCTGAGGCCTTTCTCCGGTGTAGCCGCGTGACCAGCCGACTACGAGGGGGCTTCAGCCCGAAAGCTTTTTCTGCCTTTTTTCCGCCTTCGTCTGCCACAGGCTCGCTCACAACTCCCTCCACGTCTCAGGAAAGTCGGCCGTCCTAACGTCTAAACCCACCGCTTCTGCTTCACCGGTGTGATTTAGCCCTTTAGGTGCAGAGCCCCTCCCCCGCGTAACCAGGTTACAGGTACGAAAGCCAGGAGAGGCCAAACTTCCTGAGATGACTGCTTTGATAACTTTTAAGACTTTGTGCCGATGATCCACATGAATTGTGTAGTGGATGAAATTACATCATTAAATTACCTCAACGTGATAAATAAAATAAAAAAAAGACTGATAATATTGTGAATGACATGATTTGCCCACCCATAGATGGAATTTAAATTATTATACATGAGCTAAAGATGGACAGATAAAAAAAGAAAAGAACCATGTAAAACACAATAACCTGAAGTCTATTTGTGGTTTTTGTAATCCAGATTTAGATCTGATCAGATTCCTTTAGTTGGCTAACTGGGTTTAGTCCTGCCTGGTCCTTGTTTCCTGAGCTGCAGGTGTAATGACACCAGGTGGGCTTGTGGTTGGGCTCTCTGCTTTTTGTGAAGCTCCACATTTTTCATACCAAGATTGAGGACCACTGTAAAGTTCACCTTTTTTTATTTTTACATATATTTATTCTGTTGCAAGCGTAGATATGCATATTTCTGGCCACAAACCACTGAAATGTTATTTGAAAGTATTGAAAAGATAATAAATTTCACCACAAACCTGGAGTTACCAGACTAAAACTTGGAGAATACACGTTCACAGCTTATACTAAAGAGAAATGTCCAGGTGTTCCTTAAACGCCCCAGCTCTGAAGTCACATGGCTCTGTTGCTCCACCTCAGAGTTGTCATGCTGGTAAACTAGATCTATTAAACCTAAACAAAATAAATAAATTAATAATAAATAAATAACTAAATAAAGGAACCAGACTGTAAACATGTTTATTTCTGCTGTGAAATTGGCATTTTTAACTTGGAAGTCAATGAGGGTTTGCTCACTTCTGCTGTCCGCCCCTAGTGGATGAGGGTGGAACTGCAATCGTTGCCACTTCTGTGTCAGCTTCATAAAACTCCCAGGATTGTGGGGGCCTGGTTGTGATTAAATGTTTAGAAAGAGCTGCAGCTGCAGGTAAATGCAGCTTTATCTCAGCTGTTTGCTTGAATGATTTAATAAAACACTACTAAGTGGCAAACTGCTGTTCGATATTATGAAATTATTTCATCGCTTGTTGCTTCTTAAGCGTCCTTTAATCTTAGGGTAGCCCAGACCGATACTTTGGGATTTATTTTAAACGAGTAAGGCTGTAGCATCCTGGTGGCCATCTCTTACCAGAAAAAGTATTTATATTAGTAACATTAGGTTTGAATGAGGTTAAATACTGGTGGTGTTTACTCCGAACTCAACTTCCAAAAAGGAAAAAATAACATTGAGACGAACCCAGAGGTTTCCGCCCTGCTGTACACCTGGTGGCACCCTGCTGCAGGCCTCAAGACCCGCAGTGCTACCGTTCACCACCAGAGACCAGCAGAGTGATGAGGAGCAGCTGTCACTAATCATCAATCAGCTGCCCCTGAAGTCTTTTTAAGCCTCCCTTGGTCTTCAGTCATGGAGACACAGTGACAGAGACTTGGTGTTAAAACTCTCTCTGAGCTACTCTGTTTTGTATTTGCCCAAACTGTGCTCTCCATTCCTGGGGTTTTTTAGTGCCCCAGTTGCTAGTGATATTTTGTGCCCTTGTGCCACCTGTTTTGTGTTTCTCTTGTGAATCTCCAAATCCTCAGTTTAGTCTGGCTTTAGTTGTTTTCCTTTGAGGATTTTTAGTTAAAGGAGATTTCTAGTTAGATAGTTGTGGTTCTGTCTTTGTCCATATGGAAATGGTTTAATCTTAGAAACCCCATTTTGTTGCTGATTAGTTCAGTTAGGAGTTGTTACCCACTTGGTTTAAAACCAGAGAGAGCGCTTTAAGTTAGTGGTTGTTTGGCTGCTCCCTATTTTTAGCAGAGGGAGTTTAGTATTGAAAACCTTTTATCCAACCTTTTGTAAATAAACCTTTTTAAACCTACCATTCTCTCCCTTAACATCCCAACTGACACCATCCCTAGGATAAGTACGGCTCCTAGACGCCAGAGGGGACGTAACAAACATTACGAGCCTCGGGGAAAAATCTATAAATGTACTTAAGTCCTTGACAGAAAACCACATTATTTAGTGGTGATTCTGTTCGATTTGATCAACTTTAAGCTCACAACCGCTGCAAGATGTTAAAGCGACAGCACTCGTACTTACTGCGAGTGCCACTCTGCCTCGTAGTCTGCAGCGTGCCTTCTCTTCGATTGGTCAAATGACAACGCGAGACTGACACACTAGAACAAACATTGTTTGTGAAAAAGAGGCACCTCCTATCCTTTCTCTGGTTGATTCTCATAAAGAGGCTGAAACCCAACAGAAGACCCCCCCCCCCCCCCCTCCAACAAACTCTTCAGAACTACACGATTCACGTGAACTCCACTTTCAACTTCAAAAAGTGTGATTTTCATCGAAAAGCTACAAGTTTGCAGTAGGGTGGGGTGATATGGCCTAAAATCAATATCAAGATATGTTGAGGATTTCACCTCGATAACGATAAATGGACGATGACTACAGGTATGCGCAGAAACAAAAGTTGTCCACTAGATGGGGCTGTCGCATGTTACGTTGAGTGACATTTTTACATGACTCAAGGTGGTACCGCTTCTTAAAGGGACATGAATTTTGCCAACCTACACAAATCTCTTCTTTTTTTTTTCATCAAATTTATTGACATGGAAATAATTATCTCGATAGGAGTCAGAAATGTTGATAAAGATACATTTTTGATTCATTGCCCAGCCCTAGTTTGCAGGTATGATTACACCCTCCTTTGATTTTCACCGGGGCTTCCTCTTGGCACACTGGTCACCTTCCTCCTGTCTGGAGTGGTGTTTGTTACCCCGCTGGGTCGGGTGAGTCACTTATTTTTACCATAAACTGACACACAAGATGTGAAAACTACAAGGATCCCCTTTTAGTACTCTCGTAGTTAAATGATTACCCAGGGTAAACCAAAAATACTTTGCCGCCTCTTGGTGGAAATGGGAATTTAGTGAAATTTTACAATTTGGGAACAACAGCATGTGGTTCAAAGGCAAGAAATCACTTTTGGTATTCTTGTGGTTCAACAAGTTCTTTGTGTCTCAAGTGGACTTTCATGTGGCTGTTTAAATGTGTCTTCCTGCTAAATGCTCGTCCACAGAGCTCACAAGCAAACGGTTTGTTTCCCGTGTGAACCTTCATGTGACTGCTTAAACCTGTCTTTAGGCTAAATCTTTGTCCACATAGTTCACAAGAAAAAGGCCTATGTCCTGTGTGGACAACGATGTGTTTGGTTAAAGTTGACTGTTGGCTAAACTGTTGTCCACAGAGCTCACAAGAAAAAGGCTTCTGTCCTGTGTGGACTCTCATGTGTCTGTCTACACTTCCCTTATGGCTAAATCTTTGTCCACAGAGCTCACATGCAAAAGGTTTCTGTCCTGTGTGGACACCCATGTGTGTTTTTAAATGGGTGTCTTGGCTAAATCTGTGTCCACAGAGTTCACAGGCAAAAGGCTTCTGTCCCGTGTGGACTCTCATGTGTCTGTTAAAAATTGCCTTTAGGCTAAATTTTTGTCCACAGAGCTCACAGACGAAAGGCTTCTGTCCTGTGTGGTATTTCCTATGCAAGTTTAAATTTGCCTTTCGGCTAAATCTTTTCTCACAGAATTCACAGACAAAAGGCTTCTGTCCTGTGTGGACTCTCATGTGGTCGGCTAAATGAGATTTGGTTCCAAGCATTTTTCCACAGTCGTCACAACTAAATGATTTTTGTTCTTTCTGAACTTTCCTGCACGAGTCTACATGTTGCTCCACTCTAACACATTTCTTATTAACCAAACAGCCTGAAGACCTTATTGCTGAATGACCTTTCACTCTCACATGTTTCTGGAGAGACCACTTGTGGAGAAACTGTTTACCACACTCGGGGCAGCTAAAGGATTTGTTGACATCTGACTCAGAAGACCCGTTCTCGTTCCAGTCATCATCTCCATCTATAGTTTCAAACCCAGAGCCATAATCCTCATCACCATCTCCACTAACTTCAGTCTCTGAAGAATCGGATGTTTGTTCATGAGGGTTCAGATCTGGGTTCCTGCTAGTTCCTGCTCCTCCAACAGTCTCTGCTGTCATCTCGTCAGATGAGCTGCTGGTTGGAACATCTCTGACTTCTATTTGCTGCTGATGAAGCTGTGAGACCAGACGTTTCTCTTCATCATCCTCACTCTTTATAGAAACAACAGTGAATGGAAACCTGGCAGCATCAGTCTCCTCCTTCAAACATAGATGCTCTCCCTCCAGACTGGTCCAGAGTTCCTCCTGTTCCTCCTTTATGAGAAGACATTCTGGGTCCTGTTGGTCCACACCAGCACTCTGTTCTTCAGGATCTTCTTTAACCAGAACCACCTGTTGAACATCTGTAGGAAACACAGACACTTGATGCTAATTATAGACTCATGTAACTTTATGTTCACAAATGCAAAATCAAAATGGAAAAATCAGAACAGCAAAAGTTTGTTGATTTCAGTATCCCCTCCCTCCATTATCATATTATGTTGGGTCGGGTTGCGGGGGGAGCAGCCTAAGGCCCAGACTTCCCTCTCTACAGCCAGTTGGGCCAGCGCTTCCAGCGAAATCCTAAGGTGTTTCCTGGCTATACGAAAAAAGTAGTTTCTCCAGCGTGTCGTGAGTCTTTTTTTTTGGGTCTCCTCCCAGTTGGATGTGCCTGAGAAACCTCACCAGGGAGGCGTCCAGGAAGGATCAGATGTCAAAACCACATAAACATACAGACTTTGAAAAAATGGGACCCAATGCCTCCCTGCTTGACACTCAGCATTAAGGGGTTGGATAGGGGGGTTAAACCACCAAATGGTTCCCGAGCGCGGCTGTGCCTGCAGCTCACTGCTCTTTCGGGGGATGGGTCAAATACGGAGGACAAATTTCGCACACACATCAGTGTGTGCGACAACTGATGGGACTTTAACTTTAAACTGGATACTCTCAATTGCCACTAAGGCCTAGTCCACACGTAGCCGGGTTTTAAAAAAAAAACGAATATCCGCCCCTCCAAAAACTTGCATCCACACCACCTCGTTTAAAAAAAAAAACTGTCCACACGTGCCCAGATAAATACGTTGTTAAGGACATGCCAGACCTGTAGGCGGCAGTACTTCCCCCGTTCTTAACCTCGTCCTTCGTCTGTGGTCTTCCGCAAGGAGCAGTAATTCCGCTTGCAACAACAAACAAGCAAAAAGTGCTTGGACAATTGATAAAGCGAGCGCAGCTCTGAGGGCATCCATGCTGTTGGCTAGTGTAAACACAGGTCGCACACGTGATGTCAGCATTTTTTTGTCGCGGAAAGTGACGTTGCGGACCTTAAAACTCCGGTTTTGTCCGTCCACACGCAGACACCCAAAACGGAGAAAACGCAGATCTTCACTTTGGCCGGAGTTTTTAAAAAGATCCGTTTTCGTGTGAAAAAACTCCGTTTTCGTGTGGATGACAGGCCAAAACGTAGAAAAATATCTACGTTTTGGCAGATCCCCGGCTACGTGTGGACAGGGCCGTATACACTGGCATCGGCTCCACTCCACTGCACCCCGACCACCACAGCCCGGCCGTGTTCGTTCCACACTAGCTTAGGAATGCAGACGTGATTGAGCACATGGGTGGTCTGTGATGTCATGAGCGCATCTCCGAGCACATGGGCGGGGCAAAGGAGTGTGGAGAAGTCTGCAGTGTCTCCATTATTAAACAAAAGCAGCCTGAGCAGTCTTGCTTTTCGAGACTCTGATTTTTCATCCTGCTTTGCTGTTTTAGGCAGCACCTGTGTGTGTGTGTGTGTGTGTGTGTGTGTGTGTGTGTGTGTGTGTGTGTGTGTGTGTGTGTGTGTGTGTGTGCGTGTGCGTGTGCGTGTGCGTGTGTGTGCCTCCTAACAGCAGTGGGATGGAGAAAAATAGCTTCAGTCAGAGGCTTAAATCCACAGCGTCCAGACCAAGCTCTGACTCTGGTCATATAGGGACCCAACAGCCCATATCAAAGGGCCTGGTACCCATACTGCCTATGTACCACCCAACGCCAAAACTACGGTTCAGATGTCCAAATGGATTAACATCTATTAACGTGAGGCCAGGCTGAGGCCTTTCTCTGGAGCCAGCTCTGATGCTCATTAATTATTAGGGGTGTCCCGATGCAACTTTTTCACTTCCGATACGATACGATATTGCTTCCTTCAGTATTGACCCATACCGATGTCAATCCGATACGGTATCAGCACAAATCATACACACTTTTACCTGTTTCGTAGTGTGGCATGCATGAAAGGCTTGAGCAAATGATGTTACTCAGAGGACAAGAGCCAATAGCAAGTATGAAAATAATGACAATTGTTTTTACCATTGGTTGTAAAAATGCAAACCT